GACAACAGAGAATGTGGTATGTGCCCTGGGCCTGATCGTGGGTCTGGTGGGCATCATTGTTGGAGCCATCTTCATCATCAAGGGCATGCACAAGGTCAATGCTGGTGAACGCCGGGGGCCTCTGTGAGGCATCCACAGGTGGGTTTAATGTGGGCAGAGGAAGACATACATGGAGTTTTCCAAGGGTAGGAAACAGCATGGGAAAGAGGATTGTGATGCCTTTCAAGTGATAGGAAAGTCATGGCTCTTGCTAGGATATCTTTGCTAGGATAGAGCCAGACATTGACATCGTCTGGTATCCCAAAGCTTCAAGATCCCTTATTTCTTTCCGTACGTGTGTACCTAGACCAAAACTTCAGTCTTGGAAATTACCTCCACTACCTAAGACCATTGTTTCGCATCAGAGTATTGAATCCAAGTGTTCAAGGAAACATTTGGGCACTTACTGGTTTGTATTTCCTGAGGCAGACCTTCAGTTAAGAAGGGTTTCCAGAGTTTGGCTCACTTGGGCTTAGGGCAGATTCAGTGCATGAAATGAAATTCTCTTGAAGGTCAATACCTATATTTGCTTCTCTAATCTGAAAAGTGATGTTGAAACTTCCAAGGGAAGGTCAGCAGTGCTCTGCTCATTCATCCTTACTCAGAGTGTAGGGGATGCAGTTCATGTTGGAACAGTGGTATTTAGGTTGTGTTTACTGGACAGATGTGAGAGGAATGTTATGAGGCTTTTCCAAAACAAAGGATTAAGGGAGAAGAAAAAGGATCTGAAAAAAAGAGCTTAAAATACTCATCCTAATCTTTAGTAACCATGTATGTCTTTCTACAGGCAATGGCTTTTCCCAAAGAGAAGATCAATGAAGAAATGTGTGCCTTGAAAGCTTTATAAGCCTGGCAATATCCCAATTGCTCACCTCACTGAAGACAACTCTTTTTCAGCATTTTCAGCCCTTTAGCTATTCTAGGAAGAATGATGCCTTCCTGATCTGTCCAGGCTCTGCTGTGGAGTTATTCCCTGTTTACTGCCCTTCTTGGGTCTATTTTTCTCCATTTTCTACCATCATTTGATCATCACCATGTGTTGCCTCTGGAATAGACCCCAGAGGATCCCTTCTCTGCCCGGAAACACTTTGAATGTTCAATTCAAACATCTCTTCACACTTATTGCTTGGGTTTCTCCCAACTGTGATTGTGGGTTTTTTTTAAACACAATAAACTTTTGATGTTCTGAGGGAAGGTTTGATGTGTAAGCCAGTTCTTCACAGAGACTAGAGAATGTGTACGATTCTTTCTTCCAAAATGTGTGAATGTTGAATGTCTGTGATAAGTTCTGTAAGTAATCAGAAGTATCTAGGTTCATTAGGATCATGCCTCACTTGTAGCATCCATAAGCAATTCAGTTGCTGTGATCCAGTCCCCCTATGGAAAACCCTAGAGTAGAGTTCGTTGGGAGATCTCTACTTAGCAATGGTTTCAGGATCTGGTCTTGGTTCTTGAGTCTCCAACCCAATGATATATCTGGACCTTGGTAGAATGAATGCAAAGTGTAGGGTTTAGACTCAGATAATGAATAAGACTCATGACGGGGAGCAGGTGGGAGTGGAGTAGGGAAGAAAGAGTAGGAGTCATATACCTTACAGAATTTATGTATCAGTGACACTCATTCCAGGTTTAAGGAAAAATAGGATTGGACATTGCGTGTCAGCATTACCCATCTAATTAACATGGTCTTGGAGGCCTGTTTCATCACCTGGAGAATGGTCTGACTTATTCCTGGAAGACTCTTGTATTGCATATGTATCCCTGAGTAGAAACCCCCGGTAAAAAGTGGGAGGTTGGACAGGACATGACATTTAGATGGACTGAAAACATGTTTGAGACACAGAGGGCTATTGCTCTTTATCTATGAAACTCTTACTAAGCGGTTACCAGGGCCTAGCCGATACCTTCCAGATTAATTATCCTGACAGTTTGCGAGAGTGGCAAATAAGGGCAGTTGCAATGATGTCAATTTGGGGTTCAACTTACTCTACCTTTGTTATCTGTGCATTCACTGGTACCCTGCTGAACTAACCTATCTGATTCCTTTCTTGAAGATACTGATGGCAATTTTTCCCACACTGGGTTATTATTACAAGAATCAAAGGGAAACTGCAAAAAGAGTAAGATGCATAGAAGTAACAATGTTTCAAGAATTATAAATTCCATTATTTTTTCTCAAAATTTCAATACCTGATGATAAAAATCCCGGAAAAGAACAAATCAAGGCAAGATGACTTTGAAGGGTAGCAGAATACATCACCCCAAAATATATCACTTAGCCAAAAGGATCCTTTGGAGCTGAGAAGGTGGTCTTGGGTAATCAAATTGTGTTAGATTGCTTATTGGCTGAAGAAAGAGTCTGTGCCACAGCAGATACCTCCTGCTGCTCCTGGATCAACACCCCTAATATTACAGAAACCCAAATACAGGAAACTGACAAACAAGCTTCTTGGCTAAAACACATTGATACCAACTGGTTTGGTACCTGGAGGTCCTGACTAAGAGACATACTTCAGTCCCTTGGTATTCTCCTGATAGTCGTCATGAAGCTGTGTTCTCTCAAGGGGTTTAAACACATGTTTATAATCACCAGCAGTACATCAGATGGTCTCACTGCCCTTGGAGAAGCAGAAATGGCATGAACGGTGAGGTGCAAACACCTTCCACGAACCTGATCTGATAACTTAAGAGTTTCACAGGGAAACAAGAATAACTTCAGCCTGATGGTGACTGAGAGAGTCACTAATGCCAAATTTTTGGTCCATCTCTCATGCATGAAAGGATGACCAAAATGGGGGAATTGTTGAGTAATTTTACTAGGAGGCTATTAGACAGAGTTGGCTCCAACATCTTGGTAACTTACGTAAGCAAACTGAATCCTAAGCCAGACTCTATTCCTATAAGTGCACTTGTATCCCAGCCAAATTCACCAATAGCCAACTGGGCTTTTCCAAGTCAGACTGAATAAGATATAGCGAATCAGGTAATTTCCATGTTTTGCTTCTGCATCTGCTCTATGAAAGCCTTTCTCCAGTTCCTGTCAGAGTTCCATCTCCAGAGTTCTTTCACCATTTTTGGTTGGCACTGCCAGATTTGAATCATGCTCTCGAACAAGCACTTGGAAGTTATCTCATGCCTCAGTTTATTTTTCAACACCCTATAGTAAATTTCTAGTTGTGTAAGGTATTGACTCTTGGTTCCATCTCAGGTCGGGATCTCAGGGTTATGAGATGGAGCCCTCCCCAGGGCTCCACAATGGGTATG